GTGTCAACTAGAGAATGAATGGGATTTAACAGCAATGGAGAAGATTTACCTAAAGCTTGAACATTGTCGAACTTTAGATAAGTCCCATCCATTTGTATATAAAAAAGAGAGGAATGGTTCCTGTCTCTAGCTGCATCTTCTAAGTATCACTTGTTCAGCCATCTGTTGTAAGCATCCTACAGGGATGTCTAATGAACCAATCAGGAACACAGTGTGTAACTCTGGAAAACACATCCTTCAGCTTACTAATGGTTGCTGGCTATGACTTCATTCACTCTCATAGTTCATGGAACATTAGGATTCATGCACTAGGGCTCAACATGTGCATGGATTTGGTGATCAAGCTGTTGTTTCATGACACTAGTTGATGCACTACTATTAATCATGATTCCAACGTTTTGATGAATATTGGCCTCTAGTAAAGGATTTGAAGTACATTTTCTTTCTCTACTAAATGGCCCCCATTTATGGCACGCAGGTTTGTATCATTTGTAAATATTTCTTTTCGTTAAAAAAAACAAAAACGCAACCAACATGTGGTCCGAAGAACAAAGGTTTCTAATTCCCGAAGAGAACATCTGATTGAAACATGTTGGTTTGTCACCCATTGAAAATTTAATATACCACTCGAGAGACGTGTTGAATGGGCTCAAATGCCAGCAGGGACTTATAACCACGGAGAGAACATTCATGACATTTGCCATTGACGCAGGCGTTTCATGCAATAATGAGATTCTCAAAACAGCTTGAATTAGGTTGTCTACGTTTAGTGTAACATGTGAGCAACCTTGAATAGTGTAAGTATATAGAACATCAACCTGTGTATGTTTGTTGAATATTATGAGTGCGTAACTGTGCATGAGGGAAAGACCATTGTTCTGCCAGAAATCTGGGAAGAGATTCCATCCATCCATCCATCCATCCATCTCATATCTGGTCTGCCTCTTTTCCTGCTTCCTTCAACTTTTCCTCGCATTACTGCCTTTTCCAGAGAATCCTGCCTTCTCATGCTGTGTCCAAAGCAGGACAGCCTCAGCTTCCATATTTTTGCCTCCAGAGATAGTTCAATTTCATAGCTAAGCCTCTGAAAATGGTAACCAAATGTTACCAGGGATGCTGGACCAATTATTTGGCAAAAAAAGAGAGAGAGTGTGTGTGTGTTCTGGAGATTTTCATAGCTAAGCCTCTGAAAATGTTAACCAAATGTTACCAGGGATGCTGGATCAATTATTTGGCAAAAAAAAGAGAGAGAGAGTGTGTGTGTGTTCTGGAGATGTGATTTCATGCATGAGAGACTGTTCCCCAGTTGGGCATATTGATAGAATCTGCCATCCCCTGTGAGATCGCAGGGAAGCCGGGATGCTGAGCCTTAAATTAGAGATGCTCATTAATGACCTTTATAAAAATATTCTCCACCCAGTTGCCATGGACATTTGGGACTGTAAGACATCAATATGTCTTGATGTTAATCCTAGAGAAGATAAAAATGGAGTACTTTCGCTTACTCCCCAAATACCTTCCTCCACTGAATGTTGATTTCTCTAGGGTAGAAAGGGTTGCTTCAAACTCCCCCCCCCCAGCCTCCACTTGGGGGTCTCATTATTTTTTTTTGCTATACAGGAAGAAACATATTTCACAGAGACGTCTCTCTAAGAAAAAAGGGTGCCACTGCCACCTGTCCTTATTATATATATATATATGTTCTTTTTGCTAGACACTGAAATAAATGGTGCAGAGCATTGAGCCCACACAGAAAGGACAGAAGAACAGCCCATCTTCTGCCCCCTCCTTTTTTTGAATATGGGAAGAATCCTTAAAAAATCGTTCCTCAGACAGCAAAATGGGCGAAAATAGGAAGAAATAATGGCGATAGGGAGAAATCATCCGCATCTCAGACAATTACGAAGAAGGCGACCCTTTGTCACAAGGAAGCGCTACGAAGGCAATGTTTTCAGTCCTGGATTTAAATGCAAACTGTTTCTGTTTTATGGTGCATCGCCGGGGATAAACCAAATGGGTGCAATTTGCAGTTAATTGTGTTTCTGTGCTGCTGGAGGAGGTGGAAATGGGCCAGGGTTGCTGTTCTGTACAACGGAGAAGACATGCGGACACCACGCTTGAAGAAGGATGCCAGTGAAATGGAGCCAGTTCGGAGGAGGGCAACAAGCGTGATCAGGGGACTGGAAACCCAGCCCTGTGAAGAAAGATGGAAAGAATTGGGCCTGTTTAGCCTTGAGAAAAGAAGACTGACGGGAGACTCATCAAATGCTTGAGAGGTCGTCATACAAAGGAGGGGAGGATCTGTCCTCCATCATCCCAGAATGCAGGAGACGTAATGATGGGCTCAAGTTATAGGAACCCAGATTTTGGGCTGAACATCAGGAAAAGCTGCTTAACTGCTAGAGCGGTACCACAATGGAACCAATGACTCTGGAAGCGTTCAAGGGAAAATTGGACAACCCTCTGTCAGATCTGCTTTGACTTGGATTCTTGCATTGAGCAGGGCATTGGAGATGTTCCCCTGAAAGGCCCCTTACTACTCAATTTGTCTAGGATTTTATGAACCATTGAGCTAGCTTCTGACATGGGCTAAAATTGCACACCCGGTGCATACAAACAGCAGGGAGTAGATGAACCCCCATGTTTTTCACTTTTTGTGCTCCTTTGGACTTCACTGCTCCTTCACTGCTGTGCATAACATCTACGAAACCATTATATTATTTGGTGGCAGACAATGAGAAGGCTCTCTGGGGTGGGTTCAGCAGAAGGCAAAAGTGTGTGTTTGAGTACAGCCTTCCCCCATTTCTTTAGAGGAGGCATGAGGAAACTGATGGCCATTAGATGTTTGAGCACCTTCAATGTTCCCTGTAAATTTCAGACCAAACCCCAAAGGACATGGGCTGGATCTGTGACTTCAGAGTCAACAGTTTCTATGGCATGTGCTCTTCAAACTTTGCACAGAGGATTGTTACACTCAAATTCCTCTCCAGGTTATGTATTCATTTTGGTTTCCCAACACTGGCTTTGATATGAATGAACAACATAAAGGATGCTTGTCACATACTTCATTTTCACTTGAGGAGACCTCCCGGTGATGAATATTCCAGTCCCATGAGATTCCTGGACTCTAGGTGAAAGTGAAGCAAAGAAGGACTATATTTTTGCTCCTCAAGGGATCTGTGCAAATTCAGTTCTGGGAAGGAGAGAATGCAGCTGTCCTCAACCCCCTGATGCCTTTAATCCTTAGAACTCCACGCAACAGCCATTGTCATTTTGCATAGTTTTGCTCGGTGTCTGCAAAAAGAAAATTCTCGTTCTCTTTTCTAGAGTGCTCCAAAATACCGCCAGCATCATCTTAGAACTTCAGAGCTGGAAGGGACCCTATGGATCATGGAGTCCACCCTCTGTCAAGGAGGCACATGGGGAATTGAACTCTTAACCTTTGGTTCCACAGTCATCTGCCTAAACTACTGAGCTATCAAGTACAGTGGTGCCTCGCTTGATGACGTTAATCCATTCCAGTAAAATTGCTGTAGAGTGAAATCGTCGTCAAGCGAAATAAAAAAGCCTATTGAAATGCATTGAAAACCGTTCAATGCATTCCAATGGGTGAAATACCTGCTCGTCTAGCAAAGATCCTCCATAGGGCGGCCATTTCCTGCTCTTTGTATAGCAAAAAACCCATCCTAAAAACAGCAGGGAGCCATTTTGCACAGTGGGTGGTCATTTTGGAAACCCGACTATCAGCTGTTTTGATCGTCGTACAGTGAAAAACCGGTTCCCGAAACAGTAAACCGATCGTAGTAAAGCGGTCTTTTCCCATTAGAACATTGTCAAGTGGATTCATCGTTTAACGAGGTAATTGTTAAGCGAGGCACCACTGTATCTTGCCATCTTCTGCAGTTAGGAGAGTAAAGATGTGGTTCCTCTTCCACCAAATTCTTCTTCTGATTCCACCACAAAGCAAGGCATTTTGGAGAGAAGGGACAGCTTCAGGATCTGTCCTTCCAGTGAGCACTCAGGGTTGATTTCCTTTAGAATGGAATAACCTTGCTAGCATGTGAAATACAAGTTTAGTTTTACTTACTTTTATAGGTATAGAATATAGGAGGAAACAAATCCCACATGGTTCAAAAGCTGGTTCATGTTATGATTTCAGCTCTGTTGTGGATGTTAAGGTGATGATGGGGGGACAGAAGGAGTACAGAAAGGAGAAGTTCCTTTAAAAATAAAATCCCCAAGCAGAATGGTGGCCATGATAGCTAGGGGATTTTTTGAGCTGTATCCCAATGAGTAACTTTGCTGATATCTGAGGTGTTGTTAAGTTTGTAGTACAAAGTGTGCTTTGTACTACAACTAAACAATAACAGATTAAATTTCCCAGGCCTTGTGTTATAATTGCGACTCATTACTTTCGAAAAGTTACTTCTCGCTTTGAGGGAATGGTGCAGGGAGACGGGTGGAGTTTGCAAGTGCAGAGAATGTGAAGATCAGCAAATGACCTTTAGAGTGCTCAACAAAACACGCAAAAGATCAGAACAAATTCGTAATCAATAAGATTTAAGACATTGGGATCATCGTGACTGTAGCATTCTTCTTCAACACAAATGGGTGTATCTCTGTGGACAGTGCGTATGGACACACACCCAAAACCCTACACAGCCAAAGTGGAAAAGACTTTGATTTAAACTGGCTTGTATTATGACTTTGATTTCTCTTCTGATCTCTAGGGTCCTGCCTCAGAACTGAAGCTTGTTACCTTCCCTTCTAAGGGGGTTACATTGGCAAGCACAAAAGTATGGGATGGGAGACATTGTGTACTCCTTTCCCCCTCTGGTGTTCTTTTCAACTACCAGACCCATGATGCAGTGAGCCTGTGATCAGAACCCAGTGGCACATGAGTACTCCCAACATCTATTCGAAGCCATTCACTGCAATAAAGCCATTGGAGTTGTTCTGGGGTGCACTATCCATTTCTCTCTTCTTCTTCTTTTTTACAGCATGATTTGTCGGGATCCTCAAGCCCATCTTTGGGAACATCTGGGGTCTATGCACACCTGGCATGCCTCTGCAGTGCTAGTGTGTGCTGGCGAAGCCATCTGAAGGCAAGACTCAGAATCCTCTGGCTAGACCAGCAACATTCCTCTTGGGCCGGTGGGATCTCAGACACACTGCATCGTGGATATGGTAGACGAACGGAATACAAAAAGTTGGAAGGATATGTGGATCATGCACCCGCTTCCACACTTCTGTAAGGTAAAGGTTTCCCTTGACACTTAGTCGAGTCATGCCTGACTCTAGGACACGGTGCTCATTCCCATCTCCAAGTCGTAGAACCAGTGTTTGTCCATAGACAGTTTCTGTGGTCACGTGGCCAGCACGACTAGACACGGAATGCCGTTACCTTCCCACTGAGGTGGTACCTATTTATCTACTCACCTTTTTACATGCTTTCGAACTCCTAGGTTGATGAGGAGCTGGGACAAAGTGACGGGAGCTCACTCCGTCGCGTGGATTCAATCTTACGACGGCTGGTCTTCTGACCCTGCAGCACAGAGGCTTCTGCGGTTTAACCCACAGCACCGCCACATCCCTTTCTACACTTCTGTGCTTTACCATAAAAGCCCTTTAGAAGTGGAGGCAATGTGTTCCAATTAAGAACTTCTCAGGAAATGCAGTTTTCCCAATCTACCGCCTTAGATCTCCCAGCACGATTTTCTTTTACTATACACTTAGGAAAGATACTTCCAGATGATTTGATTAGCTGATGTCTCCTGCACTTCTTGATGACTATATTATTCAGTTCCGCTCATCTTCTTATGCAACTTTAATAATGTACTTACTGTTTCCATTGGTTCCTTCTCAGAAACATTAATGCGGGCATATATCAATTCTCTTTCCACTGACTCGGATCAACTCTGCAAATTTGAAGTTGAGATTTTAATCATTACCTTCCTTGAAGGTGCAGGTCATTTAATGAACAATTTGGAGTCTTCCTGGCTTGTTAATGCAAATCCCCAAAGTTCTGGGAATTGATGAGTCTCAGTGGGGCCGTCTATCACCAGGGGCAGGAGGGTGTAACAGCCCCCAATCTGGCCTTGCACATGTATGTTCCAATGCCCATGGTAAAATCTGGAACAGAATGACTGGCTAGCATTGTTGTATGAGAACTGTTAGAGATTTTGCAACCTCGCATGCTGTTCTGCACTTTGTTTGATTGGGAGGGACTGAGAGGGGCTGGAGTGACTGTCAATCTATCCAGCAGTAACTAATCATTACCTCCCACCTTTGAAGGCTAAGAGAGCCCCGCCTCTATTAAGTATTCTTTCCCCTCGCTTTAGTCTGTTGGAAACAATCAGTCCGTTTGTTAGTTTGCTGCTGATCTGTTCACGACTATAAGTAATGAAACAGAATGAGTTATTGAGACTTTAAGTGCCAATTAATGAGAAAGAGGTGGGCTATTTGGGGAACTTGACGCTATTCGGCTAAGAGAGCCCCTCCTCTATTAAGTATTCTTTCCCCTCTCTTTAGTCTGTTGGAAACAATCGGTCCGTTTGTTAGTTTGCTGCTGATCTGTTCACGACTATAAGTAATGAAACAGAATGAGTTATTGAGACTTTAAGTGCCAATTAATGAGAAAGAGGTGGGCTATTTGGGGAACTTGACGCTATTCTCCTCTGTGAGTTTCTGTACTTCTGTTGTGTAGCAAAAGGACAGGAGCATACCTCGATGTCATAGCATGTCTCACATTGAAAGGATCTGCCATTCTGAACTCAAGCAATGCTGTGAAGCAGCAAAGACCACTATGTGAGATCCTGAAAAGTCATGGGCTGCACCATACCAGAGGTCAACTTTTAAATAATCTTCTTCTTCTTCCTTCTCCTCCTTTCCTACCTCTATTCCTCCTCCTCCTCTGCTCTATTCTTCCCTTCTCCATATCACCATTCTACCCTCCTCCTTCTCTCCTCCTTCTTCTTCTCCTCCTTCTCCTATTTCCTCCTCCTCTCTTCATACTGCTATTCCTCTTCCCTTCCATTCTTCTATTCTTCCCTGTGGGCTGCACCATACCTGAGGTCAACTTTTAAATTTTCTTCTTCTTCTTCTCCTTCTCCTTCTCCTTCTCCTTCTCCTCCTTCTTCTTCTCCTCCTTCTCCTATTTCCTCCTCCTCTCTTCATACTGCTATTCCTCTTCCCTTCCATTCTTCTATTCTTCCCTCCTACATATCTCCATTCTACTGTCCTCTTTCCTCCTCCTCTCTTCATACCTCTATTCCTCCTCCTCCTTCTTCCCTCCTCCATGTCTCCATTCTACTCTCCTCCTCCTCCTCATACCTCTCTTCCTCCTCCTCCCTTCCATTCTTCTTCCCTCCTCCATGTCTCCATTCTATTCTCCTCCTCCTCCTCCTCCATTCCTCCTCTTCCGCTCTATTCTTCCCTTCTCCATATCTCCATTCTACCCTCTTCCTTCTCTCCTTCTTCTCCTCCTCCTCCTCTTTCCTCCTCCTCTCTTCATACCGCTGTTCCTCCTCCTCCCTTCCATTCTTCTTCCCTCCTCCATATCTCCATTCCACTCTCCTTCTTCTCCTCCTCCTCCTCTCTTCATACCTCTATTCCTCCTCCTCCCTTCCATTCTTCCTTTCTTCCCTCCTCCATATCTCCATTCTACTCTCCTCCTCCTTGCTCCCATTCCTCCACATCCTTCTCCATTTGATACGCAGCAGTAACCTAACAGCCAGCAGATGAAGTGCCGCCAAGCAGACCATTTTGAGATCATAAATAGCATTAAAGGCAGTAAAACCCAAAAGGCGCAGATTAAAGACATCGTACAATTTTTATGGAAAGAGGTGAAAACAGCCACTTTTACAATACCCTTTGTTTATCGAATTTCACTGCGTGCTAACCCAGACTTTCTTCCTTCCTCACCCCAGGAGTTCTTAGCCCAAAGCCATTTTGCTGATAAAGTGGGAACATCACAGCATCACATGCTGTGGTGAACTATATTGCAACGGCGTCTTGGATTTCAATGTACTTTTCCCAGCAGCCGACGCTCTGCAGATCATCTTTCAAGGGAGTGTTGTCTGCCTCCACATTGAGAAACCCATTCAGAGTTATAACAATGGTAGGGGACTTAGGGCTTTCTACAGAGGTGTCAAATTGAGAAAGGGCCCCTCTTTCCCACCCTGATGACGTCCCCAGACAGACCTCTGAGATTGACCCCATAGACTGGTTTATTGCTGGAAAGATCCCAGTAAGCCAGGATCCTGGGTGGTCCACACCAAGCTTTAGTGAGGCAGTGGTGGGCAGATCTGCCTCAGCTTGGTGGATCAGATCTGAGCTGAACAGTACAGTAATATATAACATATCATCATCATCCTGACATGCCATCAAATTAGTTCGGATGTATGGCAACCCTTTGACAGGGGGTTTCCAAGTAGAGAATAATCAGAAGTGGTAACCTCAGCATGGTGGACCAGATCTGAGCTGAACAGTACAGTAATATGTAACATATCATCATCATCCTGGAATGCCATCAAATTAGTTCTGATGTATGGCAACCCTTTTCAGGGGGTTTTGGATAGAGAATACTCAGAAGTGGTATACTATTCCTTTCCTCTAGGGGGCACTCTGGGACTGTACAGCTTGCCCAAGGCTATACAGGCTGGCTTTTCTCCCCAGAAAGCACAAGTGGGGAATTGAACTTCCTGCCTGTGTAGCCAGATACTTAAACTACTGAGCTATCCAGCCAGTCTCTCTCTCTCTCTCTCTCTCTCTCACACACACACACACACACACACACACACACACACACACACCCCAACCATAGTTACAGCTATCTCTATATCCGCAATGTTTGATTCCTTCTCATCTGTCATGTATATCTATATATCTATGTCCTCTACACACTTTTAATTTATTTCGGTCTCTCTGACTGTGTTGCTGAACCCCTATGGAGGAGGGAAGATGCTGGCAAAGTGTTCAGAGCTGTAATTACTGCTTCTGTCCTTTTCACATCTGGAATTGTAAAGTTGTTTCTGGACAGCTTTTGGGCAGCTCACGCTGGGTGCCAAAATTGTCACTCTGGAGACCACGCCCCTTTCGGGAGAGGTAACCCCATGCTTGGCTTGTTCCTACAGGCATGAGCTGACGAATTTCATTTCTCTTTTCCTCACCCATGAGGTGATATTTCCTGGGCTTACCGACTTGATGGCTTTATATGTCTTGTGGGACTTGTATAGATGGTGTCGCTTTTTGTGCAGGGGCTTACAAAGTTGTATAAAGTTGTGTAGCTTGCCTGAGCTAACCAGAATTGTGATGGCTGCTGTTTTTGTTTCATATCCCTTTAGAATCTGAATTATCATATATATATATAAAATCAAGTGCTATCATATCAGTTTTTACTTATGGCAACTCTTTCCAGGGTTTTCCAGGTAGAGAATACTTCGGGGCATCCTGGGACTGTGCAGCTTGCCCAAGGCTACACAGGCTGGCTCTACTTGTAGGAGGCACAGCTGGGGAATCAAACACCCAACCTCTGGCTTCACAGCCAGATACCTAAACCACTGAACTATCCAGCCAGATGAAGCATCCAGTGGGTCTCCATATATGTGGAGATACTGGAGGTGTGCAGAGTTTCGGTATTCCACTTTGTACCTGATTAAAGGGAATTTAGATTGGGGCTGACCTCTCCTGTATCCTTTAGAAGATGCTTTGACTCCTTCACTTTGCTCCGTTGGCATCATCTTTGCTCCAATCGTGGATGGAGTCCGGTCGACTCTTCCCTGCCTCCCCACACACCTGACCTCTCATCAGTTGAGCAAGGAGACTCCCCTCCCATCTCTGCTCTGCAGTGATTGGCTCTAAGTAGTTCCAACCTTTCTCTTCACCCTATTGTTGTTGTTTAGTCATTAAGTCGTGTCCGACTCTTCGTGACCCTATGGACCAGAGCACGCCAGGCCCTCCTGTCTTCCACTGCCTCCCAGAGTTGGGTCAAAGTCATGCTGGTCGCTTCGGTGACCCTGTCCAACCATCTCATCCTCTGTCGTCCCCTTCTCCTCTTGCCTTCACACCTTCCCAACATCAGGGTCTTTTCCAGGAAGTCTTCTCCCTCTCCTCTTCTTCACCCTATACCTCCACACAATGGCTGACAGAGCAGCTGCAAGGGGCTGTGTAGAAAAATGGTTTCCAACCTTGGGTCCCTGGATCTTCTTGGTCCCTGGGCCCCTGGATCTTCTTGGACTAAACTTCCCAGAAGCCTTCACCACTAGCTGTGTTGGCCAGGATTTCTGGGCGTTGTAGGCCAAGAACCCCTGAGGACCCACGATTGGGAAACACTGCTGAAGAGTGTCAGCTGACCTCCCTCCAAGCCCTCTTTAGCTCTTCAATGATTGATGTGCCCTGGGGCGGACCTTGGGCTTCATTGGAGCATTCAGCTGCCACTCACTTTTGCCTCTGCTGGCAGCTCAGTCTACTATTTGCAATCTGCCTCTCCTCGGTCCAAGTCGCTGACCAGCTTTTTAACCCTACGAATGCTGGATGGGACGCGAAGGTTTCATTAGGCTGTTGTTGTTCCACCCTATGGCTCAACAATGGCTTTGTGCTGCTCTCTGTAATTGAACAATCGCCCCAATTCAGTGGAGCATTTGTTCATCCATCCGAAGACCATGGACGTACCAAAGACCAATTCTTCTTCCATGGAAACTCACACGTGTGTAAAAGTAATGAAAACGGTCTTCCTCCCATGGAACCTCTGCCGGTATTCCAGGATGGAGATGAATAACCATCATGTTTTAAAGCTTTCTAAATAGCTGGCCATAAACAGGCTTCACTAGAGGGCGTGGATAAGTGTTTGCCATTTCTGGCTCTCTCCAATAAATCTCTCCCCGGCTTGCCAGGAAAGTGGCTTTTGCCGCTAGCCGTTTGTCCTTATTACCGAAAGCATACTGAAGAATTAGAGAAGGTGCACGGAAGGGTAACTGGCACAATTAAAGGCCTCCGGGGTCTCGCTGCGAGGAGAGGTTTGGAGAAAGAGGCTGGAATTCATTAGAAAGCGGGATTAAGCAGAGGCATGATGGAGATTTACTATCCAGAGGGTCTGAGGCATTTTGGAGGGCATGAAATGAGTCTGGAAACGCAAGCTCCAGCAAAGAGCATTTGGGAAAACAAAAGGATACGGGCATCGAATCAGGCAAAGCTGCTGGAGGATCTTGCTTTTATTCATAGGGCCACCAAGCGGGCGATCACAGCTGGAATGGCTGCCCATGATGGGAGCAGAAATGTGCTGACACGGGTTTGTGTGTGTGTGTTTTCCTTCAGTGACTTAGACTTGACTCACAACCCAGAACCTTCCCTCCCTCCCTTTTTTTCTGGGAGAAAATTGTTTCTAATAGGGACTCAGACTTGGGGCTTGGGACTGTCACGTTCCCCACGTTTGTTTCACCAAACTAAGAGGTCACGATCCCCACGTTTGTTTCACCAAACTAAGAGCTCACGCTACATGCCCCTCAGCAGCCACCAGTTGATTACATTAACATTACCTATTATTAATAATCAAGGTCCAGGCCATATGTCATTCTAAAAGAACCAAATCAAAATTGTTTATTGATACAAATGTATATACTTCAAGCAATGTTGTTAACTCTTAACAAACAGCCTCCTTCATCCGCTCTCAACCATCACTCTCCTGTTCAAACTCCAAAACTCTCTCAACTTCTAATTTCCTCAACAAAAAAACTCTCTATCTGAAACTCCCTTCTTCCTGTTGAGTCTGTTACATCTCGTGACTCCGCCCCTCCAGCACTCCCATTGGTCTATGCAGATAGCATATGAATATTCATTCAAGTCGGTTCTTACTGATGGCAACCCTGAAAAAGTGGTTTCCCATTCCTTTCCTCTAGGGGGAGCCCTGGCTGGCTCTACTCCCAGAAGGCACAGTGGGGAACTGAACTCCCAAATTCTAGCTCTGCAGCCAGTTACCTAAACCACTGAACTGTCCAGCCGGCCGACAGCATCTAGAGGAACATATTTGCCCATATGCTGATGTAACTTGGGTTTTTTTAAAAGCTTTCCTGCCATATGGAGTGATTATGCCCACTCACTTCCCTTTCATGAGGTATCTGCCCAGAGCATGGATGGGCACAAGAGGGGCTGGAGAACTTCTAACCCACCTCCTGTGCATTGATGGATGCTCATCAGTCTTTGTTATTTGACAGGTGAGTCAGGGCTAATGGGGACTGAGATTTCCTATACCTTGGAAGCCAACAGCAACCTCATCCAAGATTTCCCTTTCAAGGTCAAGCTGAAATCAGGGGTAGGAAATGTATAGTGTCTCTAGAGGCTGTTAGACCATAACTCATATCAGCACTCACCATTATGAATACTGGCTAAAGGTTGGTGGAAACTGTAGTCCAACGTCCAGGAGGGCAACATGGTCCCCTTGAGATATCTTGTCAGAGATTCACCAGGAGCTGAATCAAGAAAACATCACACAGACAGATGGTGATGCCTTCTTACTGTGATGGTATATACTGTACCTCCTGATAGCCTGCTACCTTGATGATACAAAAGAGAGACGGACGATGGTGATGTCTTCTTACTGCGATGGTATATACCTCCTGATAGCCGGCTACCTTGATGATACAAAAGAGAGACGGAGAACCTTTCATCCTTGAGACTCCATAGAAGCTGTCAAAGGATTCCAGAAGCGCAATCAATCTGCTGTGGTTTTTAGTCTGAATAGAGCTAGCCAGGGTGCTGAAAATCAATCTCAAAAAAGGTTCAGCACTTGGACAGCTCCTGTAGCCTTTAGACTTAACCCCAGAGCCGATTCATGGCCCTGTGGAACAGCATCACTCACCTCTATTAGGCCTCCATTCCTGATCATTTCTAGTCCACTTGGCAAATGGTGAGGAAAACGTGAGGGCAGAAGGCTATACTCTGCCCAGTAGCGTTTGCCTGATGCCTCAAGCCCTGGTTTGAGATATTAGCCATCTAGAAGAGTGTTTTTTCAACTTCTGGTCTTTGAGACATAAGGGCGTCCCGTTCTCAGAAGCTGTGGCCAA